CAGTGAAGATTGAGGCAAAGAACTCACTGAGCACCTTAGTCTTCTCTATATCTACTGGAGTCAGTTCTTCATTTTCATCTGTCAGAGGGGAGTACACTCCCTGGTCTGTCACTTCTGACCAGTTTACCTGTAGAATCTCTTTTTGTTGTTTTCCACATCCTTTACCTAGCTCAGTTCCACGTGTGCTTTCCTGATCTCATCTCTGCCTGCATGGATTGCATCTTTGTATCCTCTACGATGACTCTATGGCCACTCCGTGACTCTGTGACAACCCTATGACAAATCTATGACACCTCTATGATGACTCTGACTACTATATTACTCTCTGAGGTCTACATGATGACTTTACGATATATTTGTGATGACTAGGACAACTCCAGGATGCCTCCATGAGGACATTATGTTCATAATATAAGACTTTAGGATGACTCTGTGAAGACCCTCAGGCTCTCTAACAATGCCTGCTCTCATGCCAGCCATGTCTCTGAGGTTTCTGTGACAACTCTATGACCCTAACACTAACATTAGCTCTAATGGCATTCACCCTAACCACTAAACCTAACTTCCAGTGTTAAACCTAAAACAAATCCAAAACTTAATGATAACCCTAGCCAGCTTCCCTATTCCTAATTCTATCCTGGGACACTTTGAATGTTCCCACGCTGTCTGAAACCGTTTAAATCTGCCCACACTGCGCATGTCCGCCGGCGTGGCCGCGTCCGAGCTCGCTGCCGAAAAAGTCCCCTGCGCACACCGTCACTGAACTACTGCGCATGCTCCTGAGGCCGCTATTGCGCATGTCCGCCGGGGGAGCCATGCAGTCCACATTGGCGCTATTGCGCATGCTCACAAAGGTATCGCTGTCGAAGTCGACGCGTCAGCGCCACTGCGCTTGCGCGCTGCCAGCTGCCGCAGTACTGACATTGGCCTGTGGGTGGCAGCAGAGGGCCGGGCGGCGCCACGCTCTGTGAGCCTTTAGGCCGCCTCTGTCCCAGGGGAAGCTGCGGCTCCATTGACTGCACGGGGGAGCGCGTTGTGAGCTGCGGGCGGAGAAGGGGGAAGAAAGAAAAAAGGAGTGACACAGAGAGTGGACATGGATAGGGGCAGACAGCAGGCGAGGAAGGGAACAGGACAGAGAGAGGAGCGAAGGGAAGAGGGGGGCAGCAGTGCAGGAGAAACAAATGTGGTGGCAGCAAGGCAGAGATCGAGATGGGAAAAATCTGGAGGAAGGATAAGGGTAAGGGGCAACTGCATCCATAGAAACACAAAGCAGGACAGGTTGAGACAGAACCAGAGAAAGAAAGGCTGCAAAGATGGAGAGAGGAGGGAGGGGACGTGAGATGGAGGGGTGGTGGGACGCAAAGGGACAGGAAGGAAAGCAGAGAGAAGAGACAAGGCAGGAAGCAAGACAGATCTGACAGAAAAGTGTTGGACTTAGACAAGAAAGATGTGGAGACAGGAAGCAGTACGGAGTGAGGGAGAAGGACAAAATATAATGGACTGCAAGGCAAAAAGAAAATGAATGGCAGGGTGACAGAAAGATTTCCTGCCAGGGGGCAGTGAATACAACAGAGGGACTGCAAGGAAAGGTGAAGAGCAAGAAAACACAATGAAGAGAATAACGGCGTGGGATGCAAGAGTAGGGAAAAGCAGAGGGAGAAGAAGTAGGAAAGAATGCTAGGAAGAGAATGAGAGGTATGGGGGGAAGAAAGCTTGGGAAAGAGATTAGTGACAGGCAGCAGAACTGAGGGATGGAAAAGCAAAAGGTGCTGAGAGGACCAGGACAGAGCAGGAGAATAACAGAGTAACACAGGGACAGAAAAAGAGGGCACAGAGCAGAGAGAAGGCAGAGAGAGGGGCAGGACTGGGAGTGAGAAACAGCAAAAAGAGACAAGAGGCACTGAGGGACAGACAGGGTGAGCCTGTCATGGGGGATAGAACAGGAGTGAGGAAAGGGCTAAGGGACAGCAAGAAGCAGAAAGAAGGACAGGGAGCATGACGAGGAGAATAAAAAATCATGGGGTGGAGAGCAGGGATGGAGGGTGAGACAGGAACAGAGAGCAGGGCCTTGCTGTAGGAAAATACACAGATGGGCAGCTGGACAGAGAGAAAATGAGATGAACAGGAAACAAGGCAGTGGGGTACAGAATGAGTAAAAGGAGACATAGGGAGCAGAATAGATATACTGAGAGAAATGTGGGAAGAAGGGCAGACTGACTGACACAGAAACCCAGGAGCAAAGGAGCAGGACAGTCTGACTGAGGGGGAAAAAACGAGAGGAAGTGAAAAAGGGAATGGGGACAGAGCAGAGGGATAGAGAGAGAAGCAGGAGGTGAGGGAGAGAAGGGAGGGAGCAGGGGTAGAGAATGTTTGGGTGGTGGAAGGAAGGAACAGAGCAGGGTACCAGCATTGGGGGGAGGGTGTGAGGTACACGAGAGGGATGCAGATCAGGACAAAACAAAGAGGGAGAGGGATAAAATGGAGATGGGCTCCAAGTCACAGACTGAGGAAGAGCAAAAAGAAACAGGATAGAAGCACTGAGGGGGAAAAGAGACAGCCAGCTGGCTGTAGCCAGAAGTGAGGGAAAGGTCAGCAGGACAGAGAAGACCAAAAAAATGGAGAGCAGAAGCAAGATGTGGGGGCAGGCAGAGAAAAAGAGGGAAGTTAAATAGCTAAGACAGAGAAAGAGCATTAGGAGCAGAGAGAGAAAGAAATACACTAAGAAAGGCAAGGAGGATAGAGATGAGCAGAGAAACACAGGGAACAGGACACCAAGAGAGCAGGGATGGGGTGTAGTACACTGATAGACAGAGAAGTATTAGGGACAGTGAAATTAAGGAAAGAGAAGAGAAAGCAGGACTGAGAATCAGAGAGAGAAAGAGGAAAAGAAGTCATTGAGGCAGAACAGAGGAGTGTGGAGCCTTACAGATCCCCCAGAACCCCAGTGAGCCCCCAGTACCTCCCGGAGGTGCAGTGTCCCCCCTGTATATCTCTGTGACCATTACAGAGCCCCGCAGTACTCCTCAGAGCCCTCCAGCATGCTCCAGAGCCCTAACAACAAAGGTACAGCCCCTTTACAGCAGACTGGCACGCTGAGCGGAGGAGGTCCTGCGGAGCAGCACAGGAGATGACTCCAAAATGGGGCTCCTGCGCAGGACTCCATGGCACCTTCCCTCCTTGCACACACCTGGACCAGGTACTTCATGGACCTGCTGCCATGAGAGCCTGCAGCCACGGCAGGGCCTGAGCTCTCCAGCATGAGCTCTCCAGCACCAGCAGCCACGCTCCTGAGGCCCCAGCACCTCACTTCTGACCCCATCTGCAGCTGACAGAGCTCGGCAGGATGGGCACCGACCTGTACCACGTCCCAGAGCCAGGGATATGGGGCTGCTGTCACTGTGTGCTGCACGGGTGCCTGCTTAGCCTTCCTTGATAGTGATGGCATCATTTCTCTGCAGAAGCCCACGGGTGCCTGTGTGACGATAGAGTCCAGGCCCCTCCCAGCAGGCATTTTCCAGCTTCAAGTCCTCTAATTTATCTCTGCATTGTGTTGCTTCATGGCGCGGCAGCTGTGGGAGGAGGAAGGGGTGAGGAGCAGTGAGGTGAGCGTGTACAGCACAGTGGGTCTGGAGGAGGGCTGCAGGGGGCATGTGGGCCTGGGCCCTTCCTTCCCACCCTGTGGAGCAGGGGCCTGGGGGCCTCATCCTTCCCTGCCCTGCAGCTGCACACAGCACTCCATAGTGCAGTGGGTTGGGGGAAGCATTGCACAGCTCTGCTCACTGTGTCCTGAGGTACACCCAGGGCAGGGGCAGCCCAGGGCAAGAGTAGTAGAATTGCTTGAGTTAGAAGGGACACTTACAGGTGATCTAATTCAACTTCCTTGCACTGGACAGGGACACTTACAATTCAATCAGATTTCTCAGAGCCCCATCCAGTCTGATTTTGAGTGTTTCCAGGGATGCGGCACCCACCCCATCTCTGGGCAACATGTAAAAAAATTCTTCCTTCTATCCAGTCTAATAGATCTCCCCTCTTTTGGTTTGAAACCATTTCCCTTGTCCTATCACAGCACACCCTCCTGAAGAGTCTGTCTCCTTCTTTATTAAAGCTCCCTTTTAGATACGGAAAGGACATTCTCATGTCTCCCCAGAGTTTTCTCCAAGTTGAACAGCCCCAACTCTCAGCCTGTCCTCATATGGGGGTGTTCCATCCCTTGGATCATTTCTATGGCCCTGCTCTGGACACGCTCCAACAGGTCCATGTCTTTCTTGTACAGAGGACTTCACATCTGGATGCACTCCTCCAGGTGATGGACTCTCCTCCAATGCGGAGCAGAGGGGCAGGATTACCACTTCACCCTGCTGGCCGTGTTACTTTGGATGCAGCTCAGGATATGGTTGGCTTTCTTGTCTCTGTGGACACACTGCTGTTTGCCATGTCCGGCTGGCCACCCACCAGTACCCCAGGTTCCTTTCAGGAGGGCTGTCTTCAATCCTTTCACCCCCCCCCCCCCCCAGTTTGTACTGATAGCGAGGGTTGCCCTGACACCGGACCCACAGAAGGAGCTGGGGAGAGGCACAGGGCAACCACACAGTGGGGAACAGAAACGCATCCAAGATACCCGAAGTGCCCCCACCCAAAAAGAGGGGCTGGGGGGCAGCTGGGCAGCTCTGATGTCATCCTGCTGCTGGTTTTCTCCAAGGGCCCTGAAGAGCTTGTGCCTCCCTGAAAGCCAGGCAGACATTGCCTGCTGGGCCAGGCTCAGGGCTGAGGGGAGCTGCTGGGGGCTCCAACTGCTGCTCAGGGTCCCTGGGTGCCCCTGGGTGCCCACCTGGGCTGGGGTCCCTGAGGTGGGCTCTGTGTTTATTGCATGTCTGTGGCTGGAGGACACCAGAAACAATTCATGGGTGGTGTAGTGTTGGCTGTTGCACACCTACAGGGCTTCGTGCTGTGTGTGATTGAGGTGCATGCAGCTGTGTCCAATGTCAGTGCCAAGAGGCATGAGCTCGCTGTTGGATTTAGTAGAATCACATCGAGTTATAGAATCTTTACGGTTGGAAAACACCCCCAAGATCACCAAACCCAACCACCAGCCCATCCCCACGGTGCCGTTAAGCCGTGTCCCCAAGTGCCACATCTCCACGTCGTGTGCGCCGCGGGGCGGGCGCTGTGTGCTCGGTGCGAGGTGCCCACAACTGCCGGCGCTGCACGGTGGAGCGTGTGAGCGTGTGCCGGGGTGCGTGCATCCATAAAGGTGTGCGGCGGGGCCGGGGCGGAGCGGGCAGCCGGGCAGCGGAGCGGAGCGGAGGCGGCAGCGGAGCGTGGCAGGTAGGATCCTGCCGGCGGGAACGGAGCTCCCGAATTCCCGGGTGCCTCCCGTGCGAGCAGCCCGTCGGGGCCAAGCGACCGGGAGCGGGGTGGGCGGCGAGGGGAGGGAGCGGCTCCCGGTGCAGACCAGCAGCCCCAGACCCGACCGTGCCCGCTGCAGGAGCCCCGGGGAGAACCCGGCTGCCCGCCCCGGCTCGGTGCCTGCCGGATGCTTTGGAGCGGCTGCGGTTCCCAGGTTGAGCACCGAGTTTGTCCCCCGGCAGAACAAACGAGGTACCTGCACAGGTGGGGAAACGGAGGCACTCTTTGCTGGGAACAGCAGTGACAGCAGCAGAATGAGCAGCCCATTGAAAAAAGAGAGCTCGAACCGCCTGCTCCTCCTCTCCTCCGTTTGCTCCCGTCTGTCCAGAACACGAAGGGAGGGTCCGCAGCCCCCATCCCAACACCTCCCCCGTCTCCTCCCGCTCTCCTTGCCGTTCCCTCGCTGCAGGATCTGGCCGTGCCGTCCCGAGTCCCCGCCGGAACGCGCTGCCGCCCCACCGACGGTCAGTGCCGGTCCTGCTGCTGCCCGCAGCCCTGAGCCCTGCCCGTCCTGTGTCTCCTGGTTTGCCGTTCCGGCTTTGCCACCGATTCAGGTCTCATCCATCCCTAGCAACTTTACCTCTCTCTGTCACAGCACCTTTGCCCCTGCCAGCCCTGAGCAGCAGGTGTGGAAGAGGAACCCCATTGCCCATAGTCTCCTTATTCTTTCTGTTCACGGTATCTGTCCTTCTCACATTCTCTGATAGCAAAGGCTGTTCAGAACCAAATGAAACTCAAGAGCATTGCCATAAACCCATTCACAAAATGGTAGGGTGTCGAACGGTTGCAAAATGCTTCCAAGGGACATTAGAGCAGACCCTCGGGTTCCTGCTGGCTGCCTGGGAAGATGATGAACTGGGACTGGGAGTATCCCACTGCACCAGAGGTGGTCTGAGTCACTCCTTGAGACTGTGTACTGCTTACACATACATACCTTGGAAGGGGTAGTGCTGCTGTCACTCTGTGCTGTTGCTGTTGCTGTCCTGCCTCTGCAGGCAGGACTGCACACAGAGGGGGGCTTCAGAACTAGCGGAGAAGACGTATATATTCATTTCTCTGCTCCATCAATGAGTGCTCTGATAGCTACTAAGCCACCACTTTACGTTCCCAGCTCCCCTGTGAAAAGGGAAACAAAGCACTTCTGGGCTTTATACAGACAGGTCATGAATTGTGGGTGACCAGGTAGAACCCTGAAGCTGTGGGAAAGACACACAGCCAGGCACAGCCAGGCACCTCCTGCTGGTCACCATGCTCCTGGTCACCCACCATCCCTGCTAAGAGCATTCCAAGCTCCCTGAACTCCTTTTCCAACAGGATCAAGAATTATGCTTGTAGCTGAGTGATAAATTGTAACAGAAGTAGCTCCCTGACTGTCAGAACCAATTTTTGCCAAGTGAAGCATGAACTTCTCACATGCACATCAAGGGAAGTCAGATGCAGACTGTAACCAGGCTCTGTGACGTGCCAGCACTCTGAAGTGATCCCACAGCAGATCACAGCAGTGAGGGGATGTTTGCAAGGTTACCTTCTTTGATTTGCAGAGAGGCATGGAGGTATTCCCCGTCTTTTTGTTCTCTTTAGATCAGCCTTTGAAGAGGGCTGACTGTGACTTATCTGCCTTGCAAGAGAGAGAGAGCAAAGGAAGAGCATCTGGTGATGAGCAGGATGGTGGGGAGGGGACAGCAGTCACCCTACCAGGCAGCACAGGCACAGTCTGTGTAGATGTTAATACGAAGCTGGTTTCTGGCTTTCTCAGATTATGGAAGGACCTCAGGGTATGCAAGGGTATAGCACTGAGCCTAAGCCAGTGCAGTCAAGTAGCAGTAGGAATACAACACCCATAACAGCCTGAGCACATTCTGCTGAACACAGGGAAGCTCTCTGGTCCCGAGGGTGTTAGGTAACAACAGCCCTGGTCCCTCAGACAGATACTGGGACCAGACTCCCTGGTGGGTCTGGGTGAGCTCCCCTGCTTCCCATACATTCATACAGTGTGGGATGTTCAGTTCCGGTGTGGCTGTAGGGTGGACTTTTGGCTATACTGAGAACTGACACTGCCATTTTAATTGGTGGTATTCACACACCAATGCAGAGCTGAGATCACATCTACCATCTACCAAAGATAAATAGCTTGCACCTCAGTGCTGGTCAGCCCATTTTTCTGGAGGATTCAGTTAATCCCTCTGCCATACAGGCAGCATAAATAGGCCATTCCACATCTACGAACCTCAAGGTTTCTGTGAAGGAGAAGAGGCTCAGCCAGAGATCAAGTTTCTGTGCTGCACCCGACACAAAGCAAATTCACATTCAGCCTTGAGGACCCCTCTGCTTCAGGACTGGTAAGTGTCCAAGGGAGAAATCTGCATGTCTACAAATGAAGGGCAGTGACCTGGGCTCCAGAGAGTAGTGATAGCTTCCTTCCCTGATGTAGGAGAGGCTGTCACTCTAGGAGGAGCATTTGACTCCTAGCAGCTGCTGGGAAGTCCACAGGAGGCCAAGGACTGCATCCTGCTTTGTAGCCTTTACGTGCCTTTAACACTTTCTTTATTGCAGCAGTGGTTGTGTTGAACAGGGCTTGCAGTGACTCCAAGCAGCTGACATCCCCAAATCTGCACCAATACCTGGAGCACCTGCACACCCACAGTCACATGCCTCTTGCAGCAATTCTGCTTCAGTCACTCGCACTGCCTGTGCTCCCAGGCCAATTCCCAAACCTGAATCAGAATGCACAAGCTAGAGCTTGATTAATTGCAGAGTTTTCCATAATCTCCATGCTTGCGGTAAGCCACATGGCTTGGACCACACAGTAGTAACAACAGTACACCCGTACAAACACTGCAGAGGGAAAAGGACTCCAGTCTTCCAGTTTATTCAAGGGAAACTATGCCTTTGAACATAGATAGATTGATATAAAATATATTCTTCCAGCTCCAGAATGAAAAAAACATGCTGTGCCTGTGATGGAAAACTAGAGTTTCGCCATGCAACCTCATCTTCAGCTTGCAATCCAAATGCTTGTTTTGGTGGCAGGGGACTGATGCAGAAAGCTCAGCTCTAGGGGAGAGCTGCCCTGTGAGGCAGAAAGTAGGAAAATGTTTCTGGATCACTGAAAGCAAAGCGTAGAATGTCCCATCAGAGTTGCCCTCCCCCAAAAACTCATCACTTGAGCACAACATGGAACTGGGTAGTAGCTGTCACTGCCAAAAGCGTTTCCAGCCTGTATCTAGTATGTGATGCTTGTTCTAGGAGCAGGTACTGAAAGGACTGAAACAGAAGCTATAAAACTGTATGTTGGTATTGGTGTAGCAAACACCTCAGATTGTCCAGCTGGTTGGTTTGAGGTTGAAGCCCCACTGCTGGGAACAAACCTCACACCCCTCCTTCCATCAGCTGGACCAGCTGGGAGGTGAAAATTCTGTCTCCCTTCTCCCACACTAGTGGAGGCTGAGCCACCCATGGGGACAGATGCTATCCACTCCCCCAGGTCTCACTTCCAGCATCATCGGTCCAAGGTGACATTTGAGCCTGGGGTATGGATTCCTTCCAGGGCCAGAATGGGGGAGCAGAGAACCCTTTACTCCCACCTTACCCACACCTATCCTACAGGCCAGCAGTGACCAGAAGAACCTGCTGAAATGCATGTGTGTCTCAGAGCTGAGAGCAGAGCTGTCTGTGTCCTGCCAGCCAACAGATGCATCAGCCAACCTTACAGGCCAAGAAGCACTTCTCCAGTCTCTCACCTCTCTCCCTGTGTTGCCACAGGCTCCAGCACCTCACCACGGCACAGAACGATGGAGCACGAGGACTTCACCAGCTTGGCTGGGTACTGGAATTCCTCTGACAGTTACCAGTTCAGCCCTGCTAGTGTCATTGTCCCTGTGGTCTTCTCCCTCATCTTCCTCCTGGGCACAGTTGGCAACAGCCTGGTGCTGGCAGTGCTGCTGCGCAATAGGCAAATGGGCCACAACACTACCAACCTCTTCATCCTCAACCTCAGCCTGGCTGACTTCTTCTTCATTGTCTTCTGCGTGCCTTTCCAGGCCACCATCTACTCCCTTGAGGGCTGGGTCTTCGGCTCCTTCATCTGCAAGGCTGTCCACTTTTTCATCTACCTCACCATGTACGCCAGCAGCTTCACACTGGCTGCCGTCTCTGTGGACAGGTAATGGCCTGACGATGCGCTGGGGCTGGGGAAGGAGGACAGTCAGGAGAAACTGGGTAGAGTGAGAGCGTGGGAAGGTCATGGCCTATCACCTTTGGGCGAATCACTCAAACCACAGTGGCAATGGTCTGTCCCAAAGGCAGTTTGGGGACTGGGTTTCCCGTCCTCTAACAACCCCAAGCAGCACTTCCAGACCCAGACAGGTTAGGGCGCTTGAGAAACTCAGCTCCACCCTCTGCCAGAAACACCCACTGCTCATCACCTAGCTCCAGATCAGAGGTGACACTGTGAGGTAATGTCTATCCCCAAGCCACTACTGCAGAAAAGTTTAATGTGGGGACAGCAAGGTGAACCGAGGGCACAGTGGGGGATGCCACATAAATGCACAAGAGGGATTGCTCATTCTCCTGCAGCTGCCAGCCCAGCACAAAACCTGTCACCTAACAGTTGTTGCTGCCTCAGCTTTCCCAGTCCTTCTGGGAAAAGTGTCCCACAGCACATATGCAGGAGGGCAGCCATGCCACGAGGCATGTTTCTTCCTGGAAAACTGCCTAGGCTGCTCTGGCCTTATTGATGGCATCTAAATTGTTCCCAAGGACACTGCCTAGTTCTCCCTCAGGGTGACTGCTGTCAGCTGCCCCACTACTGACTGAGTCCGCGCTGGTGGTGTGCGATGAGGAGGAGCTCCATGCTGGAGTAAGACTCAGCCTCACTTGCCATACACAGTATGTGCTCTGGCCCATCTTGCTCTTTGTGCTTGCTTCCAAGGGTAGTAAGACAGGACAGGGTCAAACAGCCCTCTGCAATAAAGAGGATCACAAGGCTGCAGGCAGAAGGACACTTCAGCACCTGTGCTCCCAGGTCCCAATAATAGAGAACCTCTGGGATGGATGAAGTCCCAGTGAGCAGCGTGGTCGGTCTATTCCTCCAGTCTCCTTCCACTTCATCCTGCTCTCGGGTGATGCTTGCAGGGCCCTGGTATCAGGCAGTTGTTCCACTCCAAGAGGCTAGCATCCCAGATGGGGTGATGGTGCAGGATTCCCAACAAAAACATCACACTCCTCTCGTTTCTAGTGCTTATGTACTCTAGCTGTTGTCACAAGAAATCTGAGATTTCTCATGCTCCACCTTGTCTACACATTCTCTGTGCTGGGCACCCCTCAGCCAAGGCCTGTGAACCTCCTGACCAACACCAGCCAGCAGCTCAGGCCAGCACTGACAACCATGACAGATGGACAACTCTTACGGCAGCATTTCAGCCTCCTGCTTTCCTGTACCTACATCACCTGTCTGCAGTCTGCTGCTCCCGCCTGCTCAGAACTGGGGCACAATCTCAAAAACACCCGCCCAAAAGACGTGTTGGCAGGGCATTTGTGCATGTGTCCTTTCCCTTTCTGGTGGCACTTTTGTGCTGTTGTGCAGCATCTGCATTTCAGCATAACGTTGCATGACTCCTACACAGCTGCTTGGAGCTTTCAGGATGAAAGGACCAGCAAGCAACAAGAGTTTTGGCACATGTGTGACCCTTTTGACCAACTGCCTGTTTTATTCAACCTGCTCTGCTGGCCTGACAGTGCATCACATGGATGTCCTTCCCTGGGTGCTGGCAGGTGGAGACTGCAGTGGTTGTGCAGGGGAGCAAATGGTCCCTTACCCATCAGCACCAAGCCACCTTCTTTCTAACATCTACTTTGCAGGAGTGCAAAGCAAACATGGGAAAAGAGATTCCCATTTGCTGCTTGTTCCCTCTCCTACCTAATGTGTGCAACAGCATAGACCACCCCAAAGCAGTTCTGCCAGCTTTGTCCTGCAGTGTTGCCTGGAGGTGGATAGGTAAAGCTGGCCGTCACACTGGCCACTGCTGATGGAAGAGACAGGTTCCCAAAGACTGCCTGGACCTTTTGGTACTCAGGTGGAGGCAGACAACCTTAGCTAGAGGGAGCCAATCTTTCCCTTGCCAGTTGAATTTGTGAAAGCCAGAGAGGGCTGAAAATGGGCCCTGACTGGGCAGGAGCCAGCACTGCATCCATCACCAAGTGAAGCTTCCTCTGATCTTGTAACCGCTAGACAAATTCCACCAAGCAGTGAATATCTGTATGGTCTCCACAGCCCTATTTCTTTCTAGATCAAGCATATCACCCACCCCATCATATGCAGATGAATCAGCCAGCCCACACCTATGAGAGGAAACACATCCTTACTACAAAGAGAACAGCTGTTTTACGCAGGACCATATTTCTAAGGGGCCATGAGACACCATGTAGGGCCACCCAGGGATCTTCAGGAGAATGAAGGAAGCCCTCTTGTTCCTGGTGTTTGTGTGGCCAGGCTTGACTGAAATCTTAGCTCCAGTTGCTTTGCTCTCTCCTGCAGGTACCTGGCCATCCGCTATCCGCTGCGCTCCCGGGAGCTGCGAACCCCCTACAATGCGGTGGCTGCCATGGCTGTGATCTGGGGTCTCTCTGTGGTCTTTGCTGGGCCCTACCTGAGCTACTATGACCTGATTGAGTGGGAGTCCAGCTACATCTGCATGCCTGGCTGGGAGGAGTGGAGACGCAAGGTCATGGACACCAGCACGTTTGCCTTTGGCTATGTCATCCCAGTTCTGGTCATCAGCCTCTCCTACACCAGGACCATCAAGTACCTGTGGACAGCAGTGGAACCCTTGGAGGACATGTCAGAGTCCAAGAAGGCCAAGCGGAAGGTAACTAAAATGATCATCATCGTAACCATCCTTTTTTGCCTGTGCTGGCTACCCTACCACGTAGTCATCCTCCGATACCTCTATGGAGATTTCCCTTTCAACCAGGCCACCTACGCCTTCCGTCTGCTTTCCCACTGCATGGCCTATGCCAACTCCTGCCTCAACCCCATCGTCTATGCCCTGGTATCCAAGCATTTCCGTAAGGGCTTCAAAAAAGTCTTCAGCTGTCTCCTGAGGAAAAAGCACCGCAACAAGGTGCATGTGTTACACGCTGCTCACATTGTGCCTGGCTTTGAGGCAGGCTCCACTGAAGTGTCCCAGGTGCATGAAGAAAATAACAGGTGTGAGCTGAACCCAGACTCCCTGGCAGTCCCCTCTGGTTCTTCCAAGCATCTTCACCTTTCTTAGTAGCTCCACACCATCTACCAGCCCAGCTGTGCCATCTGCCTCAGGTCACTCTCTCCCATTGAATGAGACAGGATGCTAGGAAAGGCAAGACAGAAACCTTGCTATATCCCGCTTCTAGCCTTGCTGTTCCTCTTCTTTCTGGGTACCAATTGTCCTCCTAAGCCACGTCCCCACATCTTGTGTACAAGGGAAGGAATGGACCCACACTTGCTCCTGATCCACAGCCCACCTGCAGTTCAAGGACTAATGCTCCAGCTCTTCTGTTGACTCTCATCCCTCTAAGTCCTCTGCTTAGCAGCCCCACTACATTGGACACATTTGTTTGCTGTCAGATGGTCCCTTCTTGCTTCCTGTTGTCTGATCTGGACAAAGTGTTTCTTATGGAGTGGCAAGGGAGACAGGCAGCATGAGCAGGGCCAGGTGAACAAAGGAGGGACAGAGAGCAACCAGCATTGCCTGTGGATGGATACAGTGGTGGCTTCTGTACTGGCTGTGCTGCTCTCCTGGTGGCCAAGTCCTTTCCTGTGGTGTGGGCTGTGGGTTGTCTGTATGTGTGCGATGTTGCTGCTGTAAATACTAGGGAGATGTTTTTCTGACCCAGAGTAAATAAATGTACTTCCCTAATCCAGGCAATAGAGGGGCTTCTGATGGTGATCTGGGATTGGAATGGACTACCTACACCTCCGTGTGGCCTTTTTCTTAACTGGTATAAATCAGTGTACTACAAAAATTACTATCCAGCAATTTCTACTGAGCCAAACCCTGCCTCGCATCCCCACTCCCACACCACAGCCGTGCTTACTGACACGATCACTGAGCCTCTCCGTTCATCCTCAGACCAGGCCCAGGCAGGAGGAGGTTCAGAGGAAGAGTTTCTGGATGGGGTTGGTCCAGGGTTTGCCAAGAGGTCACCATCATCATCTTGCTGCATCAACATATGGCCCTATGGTCACATGCTCTCCCTCACCTCAAGCCATCAAACTCCTGCCTAGGAAACCACACATGCAAAGAGTCACTGCCCAGAGATGTACAGGCTTTCCCTTACCCTGCCTGCACATCTCTTCATGTCAGATCAATCACTCTGCAACACAGATGTTATTTTTCTCAGAAGATCCTCCACTAGCCACAGCTCAGAATCTACAACATATAAAAGCAGCTTTGCCCATCCATCACTCTCTGGCTGTCCCGTGGGCAGTCAAGCAGCCAATGCTCAGAGTGAGCTGGGTAGTTCAGTTATGGTTTGTCCCGCCTGCATAGCTGAGTCTTTGCAAAAGGGATGCTCTCTCTCCACAGTGCAGCAGATGGTTGTCTTCAGGGCATGCTGAGTGCCAAACATGCAATCCTGTAGCTTCAGGGAAGAAAACTCTCATCTCCTTTTCTGAGGCTGATTAGATGTTAGTAGATGCCTTCCTGCCGTTACTAAATTACTGGAGATGGAGAAAGCCTCTCCAGCCGACTGAGTTTGATCTGAAAAACAGGTCTGAGAAAACCTGCAAACACAACAGACCCCACACCAGAGACTTGCACCCAAGACTGGAAATAATTTACCATTACCTCCTTGCTGTGTTCAGTGCAGTCCAGCCAACTCTCCCCATTAACTCAGAGGCTCTCTTGCCTTTTCAACAAGTGATTGCAGTCCTATAGAGCTGGACAAACACAAGAGCAATGTATACTTTCCTTCCAGTTCTAAGACTGGATCCTGTATGGAGCAAAACATAAATGGACCTCCAAAACCAGCTTGATGCATTCTCAGTCCCACTGGCAAAGCCCTGCTACTTGTCCAGCACTGCTACCAGTTCCACTGCAGGTCATCTTGAAAACCCCAGGTATGGCCCCTCACCACACGTGCACAGCATGCAGGAACCCAGTGCAGAGGTAGTGGTTCCTGTCCCAAAGACTCTACACTCCAACCAGAGCTGGGCAGCAAGAATTCAAGGGGAGACTCTCTGCAGAGCCGCAGTTGCTGGCTTGCTAAGAAGGGCTTCCAGGGCAGCAGCTTGCCCAGCAGATGCTGAGCACTTCCATCAGTGAAGCACTTTTCTGATGACTCCTCATCCTGATTCTTAAGGAAGCTTCTTAGATACAGAGTCTGGACTCCTACACCCAATTGCCTTATTTTGTCCTCTCTAAAGAACATACTATTCTCCAATCCTTCCCACTTCTCTACCACCAGGGCAACTTCTCTTCATTCACAAGAGTTGGACTTAACAAGCTGGAGAACAATTTCCAGCCTGTTTGAAACCAATACACTACTCTCCAGGTTTACTCTTGGCAGCAGTAGTAAATTCAGCTAATGGTGAGTGCCATAAACAAACTGCTTTATGGTTTGGTTTCTGCCATGGAAAGAACCCCCTGGTGCCTGTGCTAGGCAGCTGAAACAAATGGCAGAGAGCTCTCTGCAGCCCAGAAATACACAGACAGCTCTCATAAAACAACAGAACAGTAGATACTCCAAAGTTTATAGTTCCCACCTCTGGCAGTGATGCATCCCTGGGTGCATGAACAGAACCAGACAGCTCAAGAACAAACCAGGCAGAGGAAACCCTTGGCTCAGGGAGAAGGAATCATCCAGCCTGGTTCTTGACTCCCGCTGTGCCCTTGCCAACAACACAGGACTTTTTTCTTTATTCTTTTATTCATTTTCATTTTCAGCAACTCTGTCCTTCTGGTCTGACCAACTGTAAAGGTCTTTTTGTCTGGAGATGATTTTTCTTTGAGGCTCCAATAGGCTTTTTACATGATATCACCTATGGTGCCTGCACCACAGATAACCAGTGTAACTCATGTGGAGTGCACCCTCTCCTTTGGCTGATGACCAAGGACTGCTGTTTCTTGCTCGGGTCATGAACAGATATGAGTTTTTCAGAATACAGCTCCAAGGTGGACCCTCTGCATCCCATCCTTCATTAGTATTGCTGAAGTCCCTCTGCTCAGTTCTGCAGCTAACTGCACAGCCTCCAGCTGCCCCGTCCCAAAAGGAAGCACTTTCTTTGCCTCACCTTCATCAATAAGGAATTCAGGGTCGATTTTCTTCTGCTTGAATCAGATTGATAGCAAAGATCTTTAGCAACATTACTGCTAGGGCTTTCTCACCAGCAGCCTTTTCCTAGGCAAAAATAATTGTCTGTGCAGAAGCCACCAGACAAGAACTAATCAAGCTGTGGCACATCTATCATTGCTCATTAGTCCTGTTGGAAAGCTGCTGGCATGCTCAAACCAGCAGGAATCTAAATCTAAAGCAACTGTGTTGTTTATGTTTTTGTTTTGTTTTTCCACCAAAAGAAGCACAAAGATTTTAACAAAATTAAGTCTCCCCACCAAATTTACATGGTTTGTTTTGCAGAAGATACATATTTTCCTGCCTCCCCTAAGCAAAAGCTAGCAGAAATCCTTCACTCCCCATGCAGCTCAGCTACAGAGTGACATGGGAAAGAGTCTTTGTTCCTAGGAGAAAACCCAGATCCAGAAATGCATTAGCAGATGCCACTAGCTGTGTTATCCATCACATAAAAAACTCTGCTGCCAGATGCAGCTGTGAGAAAGAGCCACAGGCAGGATTTCAAAAGCTCAGTGTACCTAGGCTGGGTACCTCCAGCACTGCTGGTAAGCTCCTGCTCAGTCCCAAGATCTCAGGAAGGCAAAGGCAGCACCTTCCCATCTAACATGATTTCCTGACACAGGTAGTCAGAGAACTGACTAGGGAAAGTGCCTGTTGTTTGTTAAGAGGGAGATGCTGTGGGTGATGTGATGGTTGGAGGCACAGTGATAATGAGATGATGGAGTTCTCCATCCTTAGGGGTGGCAAGGAGAACAGTTGGTAGAACTGTCCTACTTTAAACTTTGGGGAGGACAGATTTTGGCTTGTTTAGAGACCTGGTTGGCAGAAACCTTTGTGAGGAAGTTCTAAAGGGCAAAGGAGTCCTAGAAGGATTTTTTTCAGTGATGAAATTCTGAAGGCACCAGACCAGGCTGCCCCTGTGCTGAAACATGAACTGACAAGGAAGAAGTCAAGTGAGGAAAAGGCTGAGGTACTGAATGCCTTCTTTACCTCAGTTACTATCGGTAAGACTGATTTTTCTTGGGGTACTCAACCCACTGAACTGGAAGACAAAGGCAAGGAACAGAATGAATTCCTTACAATCCAAGGGAAACAGTATTTAACAGCATACCACACCACTGGACACACAGATCTATGGGACCAGTTGGGATCCACCCAAGAGTGCTGAAGGAGCTGATGGAAGAGTAAAGCCACTTGTATATATATGGACTGGGAAGAGTAGCTGGAAAGTTACCTAGCAGAAAAGGACCTGGGGCTGTTGGTAGGCAGATGGCTGAAAAGTAGCCAGCAGTGTGCCCAGGTAGCCAAGAAGGCCAACAGCATCCTGGGTTGTATCAGAAATAGCCTGGCCAGCAGGAGCAGGGAGGTGAGTAAGCAGAGTAAGTGGCTGTAGGCTGAAGTGACAGAGCCTGGTGGCCAGCACAGCACACAGAGCCTTGAAATCTTTTATTAAAGAGGGGTAGTTAAGACCTACTTCCCACACAAGCCAGCACAGGCCATCCCTTGGTGTTTGGTTTGGGGGGACAGAAGACCCAGTTTCCCACATCCTCTGTTCACACAGCTCTCAGGAAGCTCTGGACGTGTCAGAGAGAACTGTTCCACATCCCTTAGGTGCATGAGAAGCATAGATCTGCTGTCCTGCTAGCAGAAGTTGCACAAGCAAATTTGCCCAAACACTGAGATTTTCATCAGAGCTGAAAACCCACAGGTATTCTGTAGGTATCACCCATTGCTCCTTCTGCAAAGCCTCAGTGCTGGACAGACAGCTGTACCCCCAGAATGTCTGCCATTCCCCTATTCTTGCTATGCCTTTCCTTCTTCATACACTCCTGGAAAAAAAACAGCTGCTTTTACTCTGTGCAGGGAAAAGTATGGTCAAATGAGGGATCTGTCTCAGCAGACAGAGAGGGGAATCTGGTGAACATACTACCATCAGGATTGC